CCTGCTGAAAGCAGGCCATGACACAACACTAATCCATGGACTGAGGATGATATGTAGAAGAACTGACCAACAGTGCTGGAACTGTGGTATTTTTAATCACTGTTCACTGCTAAACTTCCTGGAAAAGCAGACTGCCTTGCCAAAGTAACTTCTTGGTAAGTTACTCGTGGGAAAGTATGTCTTGCTGGACTACGCAGATTTTGACTAAGAGACAATTAGCATATACCCACTTTTCCCCAAATGAGGAAAGCACATTTAATTCTTTCCGGTCAGAGCACCTCTGACAAATAGAATTATTGCTTCTCATTCGTTTCATATCCTTGCTGTAGAGCTGGTACTTGCCTCTAGGAAATAGAAGTGTGCTCTTTTCTTTGCTTTTAATTGCCTGGCCATAGAGGCGACAAATTTGAAAACAAATTGTTTATGGTTTCATACGTCTCATCCAATCTTCCTTTGTTAATTTGTATTCATCCTTTACGTTCACTATTTGTACAGTTTTGTTCCATTAATAAAGCAAAAGCCATGTTTGCGCTGTAATGGTACTTTTCATTTAGCTTAGCCCTGGCAGAACAGAAGGAGGTTTTGGAGCTGCCATTAGCAGCAAATGTTTCTCCTTATATGTTGTTATATATTAAGAGCTGGGGAACCAACTGTCTACCCAATAATTACATATGTGGCAAGAGCTTCTGTTTATCTGAAGCTATAACACCCACAGATATGTAGCATATATCACACATAGCTTGCTTTCAAATGCTTCTCTTTCATTTTATACAAAGCACAGTTAAAATAAGAAAGACTGACCTGGATCAACACGAAAGTCCATCTACAGTGTCTGTTTAGTTGTATACTATGTATAGATGCATGTCTATGCAAGATGTACGTCTGTAAGCTGATTGATGTCTATAGAAGAAAAGATCAGGGCAAATTTATGGTACTCAACCCAGTATCCTCTACTGCTTCTTGAAACGGCTGTGAATTTTTAAGGATTGTTGAAGATCTGAGGTGGTTCTAGTGATAATTAATAGAGCCTCTTAAATAGAGTACAAAGAAATCAATATCATATGTCTATCAGTTCAGTGTTTGTTTTTTTTTCTATTCAGAGCAGTAAGTAACATTTGTACATCTGTAGATTTGCAATGCAGTGTGTACATCTCTTCATAATGCCTTTGGGAATCCTAACACTGCTTATTTTTTCCTTTTCATCTTGAAACTTGTAATTTTAGTAAAAACGGAACATGTTTTAATATACAAGCTTCTGTGTTTTATCATTGTTAATTAATATGGTGTTTCATTTTTAGTAAATAATAACTTAATGCTGCTTACAGAGAAATAAGAAGAATTTATCAAGGTAATTGTTGCTTCTACATTGCATCTTGCTACAATGAAATATGAACTCTTTACATATGAAATTATACATGGTATATATGAGTAAACAAAATGTAGGTGATGTGCCTAGAAATTCTCATACTCATTCTGAATACTTGTAGGGTTGGGTTATGAAACAATTAGAATAGTTTTATTTGTTCTTGTAACTACTGCAATAACCAGTACAATTGTTTGAGCCTAATGCCTGGTATTGACTGAATAATAAATATGTCTTATATAAAGTAAATTTTTTTCTTACTATTATAAGAGTTGAAAAACTTTGCAATGCAAGAGTATTTAAGCAACCTTTCAAATAATTTTAATGAATGTTGAAATAACACAGAAATAGCTAGTCAGTGTTAATTTGCCCAGTACCATACTACTTCTGTTTTTAAAAAGTGTTTTGGTTTTTAATTTTATTTAGATTGGCTCATGTAAATTTTATACAAGCATCTGTTTTTCAGTCCAGTTTGAATGCAGTTAGAAGATATTTGTCATTTTGACCAAAAGGCACACATGCTGTGACTTTGGAAGATAAATTTAAAACCAAATGCAAAGTTTTCAGAATGTGCTTATTCAATTTTGTGCTCTAGGAGCAGGAAAGGAAATGCGGATTCTTTCTTATCCTTAGAGAGAATGTAAAAGAATGGGGTTCCATACAGGAGACAGGTATTTCCAGGAC